AGTAAAGTCTCCAGAGATAATTATTGGCTATCTGTCGTGTTCCGTTTCATTTCGTTTCGTTCTATTCCGTTGCCATAATTATTATCGAAGAATTTCACCGATTTTCTTCGGCAGTAAGTAACTATTATATACCTGTCTGAATTATCGTTTTAGTTAAAAAAGAGAAAAAGATGGAGAGAAAGAGAAACGGAGAAGTTTTGAGATAAGATAAAATTTATTACTTCTTGGTATCTAATACACATATATACATAGATACATATCATTGAAAAGGAAATTAAATTAATGAAAGTAATGAAGGAAAACGAGATGAAATTGAATAACCGACCTAATTAATTACTACTACTAATTAAAATTCAATTCATGTGTTTATTAATATATTTTATATATATAATATACATATATATAGATATACATATATATATATATATATACATATTAATTAAAAAAATTTATTATAAAAAAAATTTATTATATTAATTTTTACGTTTCACTCTTTCTATCTTTATTTCATACCATTGTAATATGACTATCGTCCTTATTATCATAATTATCATTATTTCTCTCTCCCTCTCCCTCCATCTCTCTCTCTCCCTCCCTCTCTCTCTCTCTTTTTCTTCCTAACACATATATTACATTATTATTATTAATATTAGGTATTATAAATATCATCAAAATTCAAATAAGTACCTAAGGACCTATTTCCATTATTTTCTAACGACTATGCCTTTAATATAAATCAGAACGTAAAAGAAAATGCGATTAGTCATATTAGATTCTATAAATATAATTCGTAGAAAACTCGTTCGCTATAAGAAATCGATTTGTCCGATCGTAACATACATACGTATATACATATATTTTTCTTTACATTGTAACATGTTATATTAAGTTATGAGAGTCAGAAAAAAATTTGTTTCGTGAAGGACAGATAAAATTACAAATAAAAAATCCTTAACGCATCATCATCATTCCTTCTATAAACATCTGTAAAAATATGTGTATGTGTGTATATATATATATATTCCTTTTTTTTTCAATAGACATAAATTTTACGAAAAAATATTAATTTATGGAAAATTACGTAACCTTAAAAAATTATGACCATCAAAGATAATTGTAAGATCTTTTGATCGACTGCACGACACAATAAAAAAAAGAATATATATATATATATATATATATATATATATATTTATATGCAGAAAAAAAATACATTGATGTCCTTGGAAATACTGAAGAAAAAAAATGACCTCGGAAAGGAAAACATTCTTTCAGGATATTACATATATCCTTTGATATTATTCTCGTTATTTTAGAAAACATTTATTTGCATCATTACAATCCATGGAAATATTTAAATGGCCATATTTAAATGAAGACTATCCTATATATATATCCATTATATATATATATGTGTGCGCGCGCGCGCGTGCGTGCGTGTGTCTGTATGATAATGATTGGAGAAAGATAAAGATAGAAGGAGGATATCTTTCACAAGCAAAACCTTGTTCAAGATCGTATAGAAAATAGTACGATGTGGTGGAGTAGGCGTCACATAGAGGGTAAGAGGACAGGGTCGCGCTCGATTTGATCGATCCGCGGATAATCACAAGCCGCACCGCACCGGCGAACCACACACCGTCGGCCAATAATAATGCCTCTCGGAGTCTATTGCCGTCTACGTCGCCCGGGGGCATCCTTGGCATTAAATTATACAAGGTATATCATCTATGTAAGTATATACACGGTGTTTCTACTACGTAGGTTACGTTCTAACGATAAACCGATCACCACAGGTCTAATGTGCCCGCCCGTTGGTACTTTCTCTTCTTTCTTGCTTATCCATTTCACGATGGCTTGGCTTGGCTTGGCTTGGCTTGGCTTGGCTTGGCTTAGCTTAGCTTGGCTTAGCTTAGCTTAGCTTAGCTTGGTTATACTTGGAACTCGAAGCTGAAGACTGAAAGTGAGAAAGAGAAAGAGAAAAAGAGAGAGAGAGAGAGAGAGAGCTCACCTTGACTCAGTGGCTGTGCAATATTGATCTGCCGAGTAAACTCGCTAATACATATAACGTTTTACCAGCCGCAAAAATCAACGACCATCATTCTTCTATAGCCAGAACCAACAGACAACGTGAATGTCACTATCGATGATATCACAAAATGAAACTATATAGATCGATTAGATTTGCAAAAATAATTAGACACCGATCGAAATCTATTCTCTTTTCTTCCCTCCCTCACAAACTTTTCTCCCTTCTTCACTCATCTCATCCTCCCTGCTTGCCTTCTCTGTCGTTCCTTTCTTCAACTCCAGTTTCTTCTTTCGAGACAAGGTCAAGCGCTCGCTTTTAACATTCAACGAGTAATCTTAGATACGAACTTATGATCGATCGATATTTTCTCTCTCTCTCTCTCTCTCTTTCTGTTCTTCTTTATCTATTAGCTTTTGTAAGAGTTTTTCAAAACTGTTCCAAAGTGAAATTGACTAGATGACGAATAGAAACTCGTGTTAATGTGCCGCATAATAAGAATCAAACGATGATATTATCAAGTTAGATATATATCACACGGTAGAGTGCCGTTTATCAGCACGAATAACGCATTCGCTGAACAAGCAAATATTGATGATTACTGTTCCATGGTAATAATAGATAAGAGAAAGAGAGAGAGAGAGAGAGAGAGAGAGAGTGATGGGTGAGAGAGAGAGAGAGAGAGAAAGGGAGAGAGATAACTCATGAACATATAATGTTTGCTTACCGTAGGAGTCCCAGTATTCCTATTGACATTAATCATATGGAAAATTAATCATGTATGTACATGTATCAATCCTTAATTGGTTGTAACGTATATTATATCCTGTTGCTATTTCAAGAACTTGGAACTTTCTATATGATATTCGACTTCGATAAAATGGGTAAAACTATACCAATGTTAAAACGAGAATAGGATCGATGAATTCTTATATAGAATGTGACATTGTATAATACATTGTACGATAGTGAAACTGGTTGGAATTATGTATGTATGTATGTATGTATGTATGTATGTATGTATGTATATATGTATGTATGTATGTATGTATGTATGTATCTATGTATGTATGTATGTATATATGTATGTATGTATGTAGTAGGAAACTGTAATAAAGAATTCAAAGGAAAGAAAAGAATCAAAATAGAAAGAAAGTTTGATAAATAAAGTTTATAGCCTAATGTCGTTCAAATTGATGAAAAGTTAATAGCGATAAAGTTGGATATTTCGATGAGTAAATCAAAAATTGATTTAATAAATGTATCCAAATTTATAAATGTATTGTATGTTAAAATTATAATAAATTTTGTAACACGTACTTTTTTGTTATAAATAATCAAAAAAAAAAAATTATCAAGCATTTCTATTCTTTGAAACACTTTTTTTCTAAATTTTCAATTTGTTCAAACGATCTGATCAATTCCGAAGTATTAATAAAATCTTCCATTTTGATCCGATCAAAGCTCGAGTAAAAAAAAAAGTAATTTCAAAGGAAAATCTATAATCTGCCTAAAGTTTGAACATATAGAGAAATAATGAGTGTGTGTGTGTGTGTGAGAGAGAGAGAGAGAGAAAGAGAGAGAGCAAGAGAGAAACATAATGTTCGGTCGTATGGTTTCTCTGAGAAACCGTTATATCGATATTGGAAAATGAAAAAAGAAACAAAAAGAAAAAAACAAGCTGGCGCTGTGGTATTTCGAAATAACACTACCATGGTACGGCACCAGCCAAATAACAGATATAATTGTTCGTGAGTATAAAGCACCATCCGGTGTCAGGATATTGCGTATCTTTTGGTAGACTGAACACGAAACTCATACAGCAATGTATACTTCAGTTATAGCGAGGACAATAAAGCAGTGGCAAGCAATGTTACTACGATCCATTGATCATTATATTACGTATGAATGAGAGCGTTAGTGATCTTTCTCGTGATATTACTAATTACGATCGTTGTCCGTTCGAAAGTGATGGTATGACACGAGATGATGAAAAACTCTTACACGTATATTACCTTTTCTAATTCTAAAATACGAACACGAAGATAACAGCTCTACTCGAGAATAGTCTCTCTCTAATGGGGTTATTATTAACGCAAGTTTTTTTTCTTTCCTTCCGGGAAACGCTTGCATCGCCATCTGCACCGATATAGATCCGACACTAACCAGCAGCACTGCGAAAGGAGAAAAAAAAAGAAAAAAGAAAAAAGTGCAAAGAAGGAGAGAGAAAGAGAGAGAGAAAGAGAGAGAGAGAGAGTGAGAGAGAGAGAGAAGAGAGAAAAGAAAAAAGAGAATGAAAATGTCCGACATCTATAACACAAAGGGTATCATTCGCTTAATGCAAACACGAATTCTTTTAGTACTATTAATGTTAATTCGTTGGTGGAGTTTCTTTGATTGCAATGAGTACAATCGGACAACGGCATTATTTAAAATCCTCTTATTCATCCACGTGGTTTAGATAGTATCGATTTTTCTCAGAGAGCTAACAGGCGAAATGAGGAAGCGATGCTGAGTTCTTAAAATTATGAATATGCCTGCCTTTTCGAGCAATTAACCGATCGATATCGTTAACGCACGACGGTGCTATAATAATGCGCTTTACGTTACGGCTCGAAGTACTCCGAGGTTAACAACCCACAGTGACCCGAATGAACAACATCGCTGACTAAACACGACGCATCGCTATGCGCTTAAGCGAAACGTTGGAATAATAGGTACTCAAGTGGAATATTTGAGTGGTAATTAAACACGCATTGGATGCGAACTCGTGCAAAATATTTTAATCCGGATTTGAAAGATTATAGATGGAGAACTTGAAACAGAGAGAGAGAGAGAGAGAAAGAGAGAGAGAGAGAGAGTGAGAGGAAGAGAGAAGAGAAAAATTAATAGTAAAGTAAATATATAATTAATTAATAAAAAAAAAAAAATAAATAAAGAGGAATTAAGTAAAAATGCAAGTGAACATTACCTCGGTATCGTTCCACCACATATGTAGCCGATAATTTCTCAGCACCGTTGGATCCTCGTTGATGTGGTCGACGGCAAGTTTGACGGAGGGCATGACGCCACGGCCCACGTGACTTTCCCGTACGTGACTACCATATGGGAAAAAACCGGCTATATAGACGTCGCGTTTCTTAACACCACCGAGATTGATCGGCTTCTGCCCACTGCACGTCAAGATGGCGTCGAGCCACAAAATGGCGGCAAATATGTGAGCGCGTACCAGCATACGACGCCAACAGCGCTCTCGTCGGCGTCCTGCCGGTTTGACGATGATACCGGTCGCCATCTTGTAACAACACTCGCGGACAACACCTCGCTACTTCCGAGTCTAATTTCTCTCACCTCAGCTTTAACATCGAACACGCGTCGCGTCACTTTGATTAAATGAAAGTGAACCAACACGGGGATCGTATTTTCGTATGCACTTTTTTCGAGTATCACGTGGCATCCACGGTACGCCAAACACGTGACAGGATCTTCTCCTCTGAGTTCGAACGACCGGGCGCATTCAACCGCACATCCAACTTCGACCATCGAACGTATTCCTCGTCTCTTTTCCGATACGCCAACCGGAACTTCCACATTCCGTGTCTACATCAATTGCCAAGCTACACTAGACGTATCTTTAATTTCCCTACTGGCTCACTTCCTGCCGTCTCTAAAGGAATTTTGTTTTCTCTCTTTTCTTTTCTTTTATTTTCTTTTCTTTCTTTTTCCTTGCTTGCTTTCGTTCGTTCCTCAGTTTGCAATTTTCTTTATTCATGAAACGCACACATACTTTGTCGATCACTTTACACGATACTACCACGATCGATCACTTTCTGTTCGATCCGAAATTTCGATATAACCAATACGAGTTCTGAAATCAATATCCAACGCGCTTAACATTCTTCTTCTTCTTCTTCTTCTTCTGCTTCTTATCTTCTTTTTTTTCTTTCCTTTTTTCCTTGAAGTTTAATTGTTGAAAATAGTGCCGGTGACCGCTCGAAATTGCGCTGTTTTTATTCATCGACGCGAACAGACATTTCTACGAATAAATCTACTGACATTTCCTTTTTTCTATGGGATACTAATATCCGCATCGTGAAATCCTTTTCTCTCTCTTTCTTTCTTCTTCATAAAAGTTACATAAGCATCAGTGGTACTTCGCCAGAAAAGTTTCGCGAAGCTTATTTCATAATGGTTGCTTATATTGCTGACATTGCAGAAAAATGTTTTCGAAAATCTCCGTAACTTTTCAGTAATTTCTTTTAACGTTTCTCAATTTTTCTCCTCTTCCTTCTTCTCCTTCTATTCATTTAATCTTTCTCTTCTCCGAGATGTGCTTTAGTTTCTTTCATTTCCTTTTGGAAACTTCATTATCACAATGATACTACTAAGTCCACCTTTGAACTTTATTCCCGTTGATTTTTCTTCGGGTATCTGAAAAATTGATAAAAATACAAACTTATCGATGATTTTCATATATCTAAACGTTATTGTGTTTAAAAAAAAGAAAGAAAAAAAAAATAATCGATATAGTCGTCCTCGTATGTACGATTGTTTTCGAAACGTCGTTTCACACGAATGTAAAACGTTCTCATCGATGTAAATGTAGATCAATTAAACGACGATAAAAAGCGTATGCTAAGCGACCAATTAATATTCATATCGGTGATCGAGTTAACGATCGAATGGCAAGAAGGTTGAAAGAAAAATGGGTGATATAAAAGAGGGACAAAAGAAAAAAAAAGGAAGAAAAGAATTATAGACAAAAGAAATGAAAGGTCTATGAATCTTGCAATCGTATACGACTCGTACTTGCAAACGATGAATTATCATATCGATAGAAATAAGCGGAAGGTACAGAAATCTCGTTTATAACGAGAAAACAATATAAACTTGTCCTTTGTGGGAGAAGTTGCCGATCTACACGGATATAGGAAAAGAGATCTAAAGTTTAATATCCTGGAAGAATTAGCCCAGGTACTATGAATGGTTCTTGTACTTATCACGGACACACACTCAACCAGTCTATGAACTTTGAGGTGATCGTAATGTCAAGTATCCGGAACCTCTAGACCTTGAGTACCCAATTACAATAGCAGCAGCAGAAGCAGCGTTCTCGATAACATTCTCTTACGACATAAGGACTCCCGTTCGATACCATACTTAAAGTCCTCTTCTTCTTCGAGTGTGAAAAAGAGAGAGAGAGAGAGAGGGAGAGAGAGAGAGAGAGAGAGACAGATCACAACTACTACAAATATCCCGTATATTTTTTCTTATCTCTTAACAATTTGACACAACATTGTGTTATTTATATAATATAATTATACTCACTCAATCACTCACTCTTTCTCTCTCTCTCTCTCTCTCTCTTTCTTTTCATTTAAAATAATTATTTTATCGATATTGTTGATCGTCGATAGAATTAATAGACGATTAGATTTTAAAATACGTAAGAAACGTACGAATCGAAAATATCTTTCTTAAAATTTTAACATGTAACGCTTTCTACTCGTGCAGATTGAAACGCGATATAAAAATCTGTTAAACGATCGGTTTTTCGATACTTCGTTGTCACGCGACGTTGTATATTTGTTCGCGCAAATGCACAGGCGCATATCGTTAACGAATCTGAGAAAAAGAAAAAGAGAAAAATATTTGAGAAAATAAAGTCATTCGTGATACCGATTAAACAAAACGACGACGACGACGATGACGACGACGACGACGACGACGACGATATAATGGAGAATTTTTCATTGTTGGGCATCGTCCGAAAACATTTCGTGCAAAATTATTGGAACATGTAATCGTGGATGTTCATTGACGATCGAAAAAAGGAAAAATAAAAAAAAAATTAACGAGAAGTGCTAGCTTGAGCAAAGATGCGTAATAAATTGAAATCAAAGACATAGAACGAATCCTATGATTCCACTTCTCGTCTACGAATTATTTCGTTTGAACAAGTATTATTTTCTTTGCTTTCTTTCCTCTTTCCTCTTTCCTTTTCTTTTTTTTTCTTTTTTATCGTTGATACATTTAATACGATGCAAAGAAATAAATTTTCTACAAAGACCATTTTATTGGATCATATTATTACTTTAATCGTTAAAAGAAGAAAAAAAAAAACAAAAAAAAAGAAATTATCAAATCATTATGATATTCTAATTCCTCGAAGGAATCAAACGTTCTTATATGGTTGGAAAAGGAAATTTACATTGTCAATGAGAGCACTCGAATCGATTGTAATACTATTGTCCCTATCAATCGTTTTTAAAACCGTATCGAGTACGTATCCCCTATATAAACATTTCCTTTATGTATGAATTCAATAGTGTGCCGATAAAACGTTACTGAACGAAATTGAACGATCTTCATTACCATTTAACATAATATCGGTCGGTCGTCTTTCTCTGTTTAGAATGAAAAAAAAAAAAAAAGAAAAGAAAAAGACAAAAATGAATAAATAAAAATAAAAATAGAGAGAAAAAAGAAAAGAAAAGAAAAGAAAAGAAAAGAAAAATTAAAAAAGAACGAGTGCGTTGTCTAATTTTTGTATGATTTTTAATTCATACACATATTACACACATAAAGAAATATTGATTTAATTAGATTCCTGAAGTTTATTGAATGATATGAAATTTGAGAAACAAATAAAATATATGTATATTATATATACGTAGGAAAATCTCTGACGTTTTATATGCAAATTGAAAAATTTGATATCCCGAAAATATATTGAAAAGAATTTTTGATGTTCCATCGAATAACACACAGACACACACACACACACACACATACGCAGAGAGAGACAGAGAGAGAGAGAGAGAGAGAGAGAGAGAGAGAGTTAAGTAAGTGGTGATAGTGATAGTAATGGAGATGGAGATGGAGATGATGACAATGGTTATCGAAAACGTTCACCATTGATAAATAATGGCATTCAAAGAGAAAGAAAATAAACGACATTCTTATTCCAGTGACCAACTGTTTATATTCAAACGGTTTTATACTTTCATCCTATCTTGATCTATTTTCTTTTTTCTTTTTCTTTTTCTTTTTCTTTTTCTTTTTATATCTATCCACTCCTATAAACATCTCATATTTTTCTTCATTCTCGTGACATCCCCATAAACGATAGAGCATACCTGCTGAATGCTTTCGTTTCCTTTTTCTTTTTTCTTTAAATTGAAATATCTCGGAAGAGAAAAAAACGCCTTCTTTTTTTTTTGTTCTGTTCTTTTTTTTTTTTTTTTTTTTTTTTTTTTTTTTTTTTTTTTTTTTTTTAAAGAAAATTTCAAACGAAACTTTATTGGTTTTTCTTTCTTTCTTTCTTTTTTTTCTTCTTAATTTTATGAGTACGGGGTATGAAGGGATATGGATAATATGACACATCAATCTGAAAGGCTGGATCAAGCAAATTTTTTAGATCAAAGTTGTTTCTTTGTTTGTTTTCTTTCTCTTTTTTTTTGTTTTAATAAGACCATTAGAAAAATTTTCGTAAAAAAGAAAAAGAAATAGAATAGGAATTAAAAAAAAAAGCCGAAGTTGTTCTTGAAGTGACCTTTCGCCAGAAAGAATCTTTCCGTTGGAAGAAACTTTCAACGGAATCGAAAAGAAATGATGTCGTTGCATTCACCACCCCCTCAACCCTATGAAAATCGAACAACTTTCGTATCGAACTTACTTTTTCGAAAATGCATTTTTTCCTTTCTCTCTCTCTCTCTCTCTCTCTCTCTTTCTCTCGATATTTAGGTATATCAATTTAAAAAAAAAAAAAAAAAACTCATCCCGCATGAGTATACGATACTATAATACATATAGAGTATACATCAAAACGGATCGATAAGCCGTCACGAAACAATACTGTGGTAGAATCGGATAAGAGAGAGAGAAAGAGAGAGAAAGAGAGAGAAAGAGAGAGAGAGAGAGAGAGAAAGAGAAAGAGAGAAAGAAAGAGTGATAGTGAAAGCGAGAGAAAAAAAGAGAGTGAAAGAGAGAGAAAGAGAGAGAGAGAGAGAAAGAGTGATAGAGAAAGCGAGAGAAAAAAAGAGAGTGAAAGAGAGAGAAAGAGAGAGTAACATTTCCCATACCACTTAGACGATCTTATCGAAGATATTTATAATTGAAAGAAGAACGATCATAATCGAATAGAGTACGTGGTACTGAATAAAATGAAAAGAAAAAAAAAAAAATAATAATAATAATAATAATAATAATAAAAACAATAATACAAACGAAGAAATTAGAGAAAAATAGAGAGAATAGTATAAGAAAAAAAATGAAAAGAAAAAATCCCGCACTCTTTTCAACGTTAGCTTTTTTTTCTTTTTCTTTTTTCACCCTTCCCCCCCACCTTTTAGATTACTCCTTGATCGATTGTCGACTCTTCCTTCCTCTATCTCTTTTTCTAATTATCTATCTATCTATCTATTTATCTATCTATCTATCTATTTACGGCAATGGGCTCTCCTTAAACTGTTAAAGTAGTAAAAACGAGAGATACGATCAGAGAGAATCAAAGTAATAATGTCTCATACAGTATTCATATATGGCTGTGTTCCATTCCAAGGTTAGGCCTTGGCACGGTAACATAATTCTTTAGCCTTACACTACTCTAGAGAAAGAGAGCCCCCGTTTATATCGTTTCCAACACGCTATCTCACTTGTATACGTATATATGTATATCGATAATAGAGGTATAACCAACGTACAGGGTGGTCTCACGTTAAAGTGTTCGCTTATTGTTTTTATTGAAATCGTTATGAGCGAGTCTACCACCTCAAGCACGCCCCCCCTTCCTCCCTCCCCCATTGAGACATGTGACATTTGACATTTAATTTTTTTTCTTGTTTTTTTTTCTTTTTTTTTTTTTCTTTTTTTTTTAATTTTTTCTTTTAATATCAAATTAGAAGATTTTTTTTTTTGAAGTTCTATGAAAGAAATCTTATCTTAGCTCGATTAGAGGATACATTGTGAAATAAAATGATTCGTTCGATGCATTCCCATAAAAAAAAGGATAAAAAAAAAACAAAAAAAAAATGGAAATAAAAGAAAAAACAAACATTAGAGGTTAATCCTTTCTCTATACCTTTTTATTGCTTCTTCTCTTTCTTTTTTTCTTTTTTATATTAAACGTTCTAACAACATTCGAAAATTGAAGATTTGATTTGTTCGATTTAAAATAAATGGACATGGAAAGAATTAAAAAAAAAAAACAAAAAACAAAAAAAACGAAAAAAGAATCAAGAAAACAAAAAAAAAGAACAAAAGAGTTAATTTTACGTAGTTCTTTACGTAGCATCATGTCGATGAATAGAATTTCTATAAAACTTCGAGTAGGCCACCCTATATATGTGTGAGAGAAAGAGAGAGAGAGAAAGAGAGAGAGTATAAATAGTATAAGTGGTAAGATAAGTAATAGTGTACAGTCAGTAGTA